GACGATTATATGCTGGGATGTGGACAGTGTGCCGCCAACTTCAGTTGATGACGATTATATGCAGGGATGTGGACAGTGTGCCACCAGCTTCAGTTGATAACGATTATATGCTGGGATGTGGACAATGTGCCGCCAACTTCAGTTGATGACGATTATGAGCTGGGATGCGGACAGTATTGCCGCCAGCTACCGATGATGATGATTATTGGCTGGGATGTGGCCAGTGAGCCACCAGCTATCGATGATTATGAGCTGGGATGTGGACAGTGTTGCCGCCAGCTACAGATCATAATGATTATTTGCCTGGGACGTGGTCAGTGAGTCGCCCGCTATCGATGGTGATTATGAGTTGGGACGTGGCCAGTGAGCCGCCGGCTATCGATGATGATTGTGAGTTGGGATGTGGTCAGTGAGCCGCCAACTATCGATGATGATTATGTGCTGGGACGTGGCCCGTGTGCCACCAGCAGCAGCCGACAGTCGGCTGCTATGATTATGGTATGATTTCGGATGCCGGAGCTGGATACAAGCAGCCTATGATGGCTCAACTCATTGGTGGACTTATGTGTCTGCCGGACCTAGATTAGCCCCAGTTTTGTATGATTGTGAGTTAAACTTTTAAAATTTCACTTCATTGCATTGTATCTGGCTTGTCATGTGTCAGTCCTGGGACATGCCTGGGGGATTGGGAGCCAGTTTATGGGATTTCAGTTCTTGCCTCTTATTGTATTTTATTTAGTCTTAATGACATTTATGAAATGAATGGTTGTGGGATAAAGTAAAATCTGTTTTCTTCCTCTCATAAGTCAGCGCTCAGTTGATGGGGCAACCTTCTAATACGATTGCGTAAGGAGGATTGCCTTGCATCATGTGGCACAAATTGATTAGCTACCTCTGAAAGAAGGTGACATTTAGCCTAGTGAAGTGTTTCCTTGGCAAGGGACTCAGCATCGTCGAGATGGGGTTCCTCTCCAGACGGGCCTTCGCGGCTTAAGCGTTACCAAGCTCTAAAGGGATAGGTAATTAGTCATGTGTCATTATCGATGGAGTGATCTGTCCGATCATGTGATCGGACAAAGATCACTTAGCATCGCAGCGGATTGAGGCTCGCTGCATTCTTCATGCTGGAAGGAGTGTTCCCACTGCAGCCGTCGGGCTCTCGCAACAGTTCCCCGGCGAGAGTCTATCCTCAGTGGCGTTCCCTGCGGTGTCAGCACTTGCGTCCTTCATGAAGAGGCGGAGAGTTTTCGACTGCGACTCTTGAGCAAGAGATGATTCGCTGAAGCAGGTTCTCACAAGGTCCAGAGGCTAGCTGGGTTAGCGGGGTGTCTGAGTCATAGAGGCAGATAACTCCGGACCCTAGGGTGGCTAGTCGTTCCTCAGGTCATCGTATGGTGATCTGGTCCGCCTGCTAGAAAGGAAGGAGGCATCCTGAGCCTCTCCCAGTCTAAATCCGGCATTTGGCTGATCAAGGTGGTGGACTCCTACTATCACTCTGATCGGGGTGTCTCTAGGGAGCAGTGTCTCCAGGGGCATTCCCTTGGCGCCGAGCCAAGCCAGGTATCCACAGCCCAGCTGGCAACAGGGCCATTATGGCCTCCTAGCCCACTGTTGCAAAGCTTAATTGTGGACTCGCTCTGACTCACCAGCAGTGTCTGGTTGGGTGTTGGCTGGCTCCCCGCACAGTAGCAAAAGCCGGGCGTTAGAAAGAAGTCGAGCGAGTAGACGGAGGTTCTGAAGTCGACTAAAGAGCTTCCGCGCCATGGGCCTACATTCATCGGAGTGAGGGCTTCATGAAGGGGTATGCGGCTCCCCGTGAGCTGTTCTGAGCAAGGGCTCAGAGGGTGGTCGGACCGTCATGACTGGGAATCAGGACTGACTTTGCTCTGCTTGCCCGGTTGGGTCAGCGGAGGAGCCCACCAGGGCGAGCGGGGGCACTCTCGGAAGGCCGAAAGGTAAGACTCTGAGAGTGAGTGAGGAAGGGGTGTCGGCAAGGGTCTTTAGGAGAGATCCTTTTTTTCGTCTTTTTTTTTAGGAATGACTTGACATCCGTTTTGCAGGTACCCTACATCCAGACGAAGACAACGGGGTTTGGTATGACTCGATAGTGAGCGGCACAGAGCCGGCAGACAAAGAGAAAGGGGTTTGGTATGATCACCCCTTATGAGGCGGCCTTCGGTCGAGATGGCCTGGATGATCCTGGATGCGATGATTGGTCCCATAGCCGCCCGTGGCTGAGATATCGATGAGGATTATGCTGTACTGATGGGAAGTATGAATGAGATGGACTAATCCAGTGATGATGAGATGTGCAGACCAGGATTGAGACTTCGACTGCTAGACCAGACCTAGTGATGGGGTCAGGTCTAAGATTGAGGATCGATCATGATGATGCATGAGGCCAAACCTAATGGAAGGTTTGACTTGAGATTGAGGCTGATTCAGCGATGCAAGGGAACGGGATTGTTAGTATGATTGGGCTGCATGAGAAGTCATGATACTTGCGTGCGGTGACTGCACCACGCAAGTCTGATAAGGCTAATTCCTTCTTGATTTTGATGGTGGCTTGGACCAGTGGTTCATGCGTTATTGAGTGAGCACTCAAGCCCTAGCGGGCGAGCACCCTGATGATTGGGGATATAGTCTATATGATATCCCTGTATATCAAATAGCATACAACGCCGCATAGCTCGAGTTGGCATATGAAGAACAGCGCAAGTATGAGGCACAAGCGATAGTTGGGTGGTGCAGCCTGGTGGGCGATGGGCGGTTCTTGTGCGCGTGGCAACAGCGGTGGCGCAGGGCGAGGCGGCTGTGGTAGGACAGTGAGCTGGCGAGGAGATGGTTGAGTAGAGGAAGAAGGATGGTATGGTGAAGGGTATGATCGAGAGGGCGGATCGAAACGTGGAGGCGGAGAGCTGTAGCGCTGCTCGTATTTATGTGCATAGTACATCATGGACCTAGGCGACGGCGTGCGCTCGCGCCGGTCCTCTAAGCGATGGCGCAAGTGCATTCCTCCCCATCTCACCTCCTCCTCCTCCTCTTCGGATCTCTCCCCTTCGTACGTCAGATCGATCAGTTGATCTGGCGCCTTCCCCTGTCGACCCCCTCTCCCACGTCCAGCGCCCGAGCCTCGCGTCTTTGGCGCCATGGCAAAACTGATTATCTGCGCAATGATAAGAGTTGCATGACGATAAGCGTTGTGCGACGATGAGCGCTAGTGCGATAAGGGCGCAAGCAAGTCGAGAACGAAGAAGGCAGCAGTAATAGCAAGATCGTAATAGCGTCGCGCACTCAACGATATGAGTTCGAGTGCGAATGTCGAGAATGAGTAAGCTATTAGGCCTTTATAGTGGCCTGAACCTGGCGAGGACGCCAGGAATGGGGTTTGGTATGGTTGTCGGAAGATGATGCGGCGCAGCAGCAGAAATTGACTCGCCGCAGTCAACTCCCGCGCTGCGTCAAAATTGCGTCCGCAGTCATGGACCCTAGCGCTTTAGTTAAACTTCCCCTGGGCCGAAACCGAG